GGGATGTTGTACATGGTCAAGATCACTGGCCAAGTGTTGTGGTCGCTCATCCTCTCATTGAAGGGATTCATTCCATCGGTGCTCAAGCCAAACCGTACATTTCTTAGGTCATCACTGAATTCTTTGTGCTTCTCATCGATCCTTTGCCACTGACCACAATTAGCTGGGTGTACAATCTTATCATCATCCACCTTGCGCTCACCATCCCATCATGTCATGAGTGTGGCTTCTTTAGGGTTTAGGAAGATACGTCTCAAGCGGTCGGTCACTGGCAGGTACCACACTACCAAGGCAGGAATTCTTCTCTGCTTTGCATCGTTGCCTAATAGAGTGTCCTCTGGGGGCAGAGATTCGTGTACCACCTTTTTCGTACCCTTCTTATTTCTCTTTTTATCTGTGGAGGCTTCATCCCCACCGTAAATGTCATTGTTCTTGTACCGGTTGGCCTCACACCGGGGACATTTATCTAGTGACTTGAACGTTTTGTCAAAAAAATGATACAGTGGTTGGGACATGCATGGATTTTTCAACCCCTATTGTCAATGGACTTATGACCTTCTTCGCTTGGTATGTGTTGGCGGGAACTGAGTTTGGTTGTGGCAGCACCTATGATAGGAGACGCAATAGATCATTGAAAGTACAGTCTGACCAGCCGTACTTAGCCTTTAGGATAAGTAGCTCAAGCATAAAACGTAGCAATGTCCAGTGTGTCGGACAACCCTTTTCAACACCATACACAGCCGCCTTCGATGCTTTTTTTACCATTTCAAAATTTTCTAGACCTTTCAGGCTCTTTAGAAAAATCTCTGGTCCAAGGGCTCGAATCATGTCCTCCAAATCATCTTCATCCCCAACACGTGCTCCGCCATCATTATTGGCATCACCTTCGTCGTTACCATCCCAACCACCAGCATCACTACCTTGTTCATTGCCAAACTCGGGACCCATTCGTGTATCAAGCTCTACTGAATATTGGGACAGGGACTCTAGGGTTTCGTCGTCATATTCCTCCTCATCCTCGTCGTTAACAATAACCGTTTCACCATGATGAATCCACACTGTGTAGTCCTCAACAAATCCTCACATAATCAAATGTGATCTGATGATAGTCACATCTGTCCATTTCATACGGTTCTTGCAATCTTATAGGGACAAATAATTATATCCTTATTCTCTGTCAACATCGTTGCATGCTTCTCTGTGACTTCAATAAATTTATCCACCTCTTCACGGAAACCTACCTTGACCCTTAACGAACTATTCATCCAAGAGTTCATGTACTCCATCTTTACAACAACAACAAAACAAACATTAAAGGACTACTTATTCAGATATATATAAAAATGAATCAAATTAATAATTACTTGAGAATAATTGTATATACTTTAGATATATATAAATATAAATCAAATATAATTACATGAAGCATACAAACACACCATGGTAGAGGAAAATTAATTAATTGCCCATTTATCCATAAATAATTAAAATACATATTTGTTGATTATAATAAACAATTTCAAAGACAACAATTAACAACAATTATATTTTACCCAATATCTTTCATGCAAACCCTAGTCCAATTTCATCAAACATAAATTTACAAAAACGAAATTAATAAAAAAACCAAACCCTAGATCTAGATCTAGATCTACATGCACATGAAACATCAATAAAACTAACTAATTGTTCACTAAAATCAAGAAACATGGACCAAATAAGGGTATGATCTTGTTTCCCTACCTAATTTACCATACTATATTCAAAACTTGGGTCTAATTTGCTTCATAAATAGCTCAAGCACCATAGAAGGGAGAGAAAAGCAAAACTCTAATTACTCATTAACCAACCATTAAAACTTTAAAAAAAGTGTGGAATAGCATTTTCTTACCTTCTACAACCTCTCCACCAAAGGATTTGAGATCAAAACCTTTCTCCCTTAGTAGAGCAATTTTTGGGAGGTGCCCAAGGCCTCCCAAGCCTTTTTTTCTCGGGTAAGAGTGAGTGACACAAGGAGAAAGAAGGGGGCTGCAGCCTTTTATACGTGCAACATTTGTAGAGACGGATGGTGATTGAGCCGCCCCTATAAATTGCAACACTGGGGGCGGCTGGTGAGTGAGCCGCCCCTACCGTGTAGGTGCGACTCATATCACCAGCCGCCCCTACCGTGCCATTTGTAGGGGCGGCTGGTCTCGTGGGTCCCGAGCACGCCCACTGTAGGGGCGCCTTCATCACCAGCCGCTCCTACAAAAAAAATTAAGCCGTTGCTACAAACCTTTTTTGTAGTAGTGAACGCTTCTGGGGAGTACAAAGGGGTTAGAACCGTTTTTATGGTATAATGGTGTACAATGGCGGAGCCGCGTTATTGGTGCTTTTGCTATATTTAGCTCTGTGCTTCAGCATTGTGGGGGTCGATGCGGTGCCAAACACACCATTACTAACCTAGTCATAGTTTGTGTATGTGCATACGTACGTGCGTAGGTATATTAGGCCCTGCTTAGTATGGCTCCGGCTCCTTGCTACAGTACACAAAGGAGTCTACAAAAAAAAAATAGTGACTTCGCCGATTAGGTGATTACTAGTTAAGACAGATAGAGAAGCTTGAGTCGAAACCGCCCGGAGCTCTGCCACACAAAGCATAAAACTAGCATATGAAGACATGTGCCTTTAAATTGTTAAGTATTAAAAGTATATATATATATATATTTATATATAGCAATGTAACCTGCCAATAAATCTAAGGCTTTTACAATTTTTTAGAATAAATTAACTAGAGAGACTAAAATCTCTCATATCCCTCACTAAAACCAGTCATGGTAACTTTGTGAATTTGTGAGATTAATTTGCATGGGTGAATTTGAACAGCGGTACAGCAACTGCTATGTGCGAATGTCAAACTTTGTGGCTGTAAAATAAATGGTTATAAAAAAAGGGAAGGAAGAACTACTAAAATTTGTGAAGTTTTCCGACATCCATGGTAAGGGCAATCCCAATGCAAAAACCATGTGCAGTTTCCATAGTCTAGCACGCCCGTTCGGTGGCCGATCGCGGGGAAGACGAAAACAGAGGCCGCGTCGGCGCCCTCTCTGCTTCCTGCTCAATGCCGGCCGCCGCGTAAGAACCCTGGCGAGCTCCCTCTCCCGTTCACCTCCGCCCCAGGCGGCCACACCCTCCCCTTCTACAGCCCGCACCGCACCTCCCCGCAAGAGCGCGCGTGGAGGATTTTGCGGGGGTAGGAGCGAGCAGGCGGGCGCGAAGCGCCTTGCGCGCGATGACTGCAGAGCAGTGGATCCGAATGGAGGCCGCTGGAAACTACTAGTTTCTCCCCCAACGCGGTGCGGCTAGTTTCTTCGTGTCTCAGTGCTAGCGAAGACGCGGCTCCATGAAGTAGAAATCGTCTCTCTATTTTTACTCTCTCTCCATTAATTTCTTTGCCACATCAGCAGAAGGCTAAGCTGCCATGATAATTAATATAGACCTAAATACATCGTTCTCGTCTCGGTGCTATTGTTGCGCTGGCCCATCAATCCGTCGGGTCTGTGATTATGATCACAATTAATTAACGTCAGGGTATCGTATGAACCCAACTGTTACAGAAGGATAGTCAAAGTCAACCTAGAAGGAGAAAACAATAGCGGTACCGAATGGTGTACAGCGCAACAAATACAGAGGAAAATGCTGAGCTCCTAATAATCTGTGGAGAGAGACAAAAAGGAAAACACAAGGAAGGCATCAGATGAGGATGAGCGTCTATCTATTTTCTAAGCCGCCCATGTTGACCTTGACTCACCCACCAACCAGGCCACCACACCACACAACCAGCCGAGCCTAGAACCGGTCAAGGCCCACCACCAAGGCACCATCCCATCATCAGGGGCCGTCGATACCTGCCTTGGACGGTGGCGATTGCTCCATCCATGATACGTCTCCAGCACTGCCATCGCCGTGCTGCTACCGTAAAACGCTGCATTAGAAGACCTGGTCCTGAGCAGAGCGTACAGAGCATCATCTGCGAAATGGAAAGTTCATCTTCTCGTCTCCTGTGGTCGAAACACAGCAGCAGGAAGCGTGGCTTAATGGACTGTCGACGCTGTCGACAAGGAACGGGAGGTTTGATTTCACGGAAAGGTTCGCTGGCACTTATCAGCCGGCTTATTGCTACAATATTTTTCTCTCACAACAAAATAGTTTCAGCCGATTTATTCGTCAGCTTTAATACCAGCCGAATAGGCTCCACATCTTGATCCGACAATAATTCAGCCTGTTCACTGGCTCGTAAACGATCGTAAATTTTCAACTAGGAATAGTGTTTTTCTCTCACACCAAATCAACCAATAATAAATAATCTACGACCATTTACGACCTACAATGCCGTTCCTTTGTTGTTTCCACGGGAGTAGTAATAATTTCTTATGGTTTTCTCCGAGTTGGACTGTAGAAGGAGGAGGCGGGCAGTGTGCGTCACGGTCACGGTCAGTCAGTCACTAGCGCTCTACGGCCGTTCGGTTGGCTGGTTTATTTCGTTGCTGATTTATAAAAGAGTACTGTTGACTGATTTGTATAAGAGAAAAATACTATTCTAATTAGAAATTTACGATCATTTACAACAAGCCACGGCCAAACGAATATGCTGTTAAACGCTTGACATTTTCCAAGGCCTCAGTTCTAGCACAACTTGCTTCGTTCTGCCTCTCCCGGTCCCGGTCTCCTCCACTGTTTTACCAGCCCGGTCAGTCCAACTCCCTCCCTCCCACCTCCTTCCTCCTCTCGATCCCTCCCCCTCGTGCCAAGACCAGATTCACGCGCCCGATTGCGAAACAACCTTACCAATTGCAGAGGACAAGAGAAGACGCCATGGCACATGTGAGACGGGGGAGGTGGGGTTGGCTGCCTTGATGACTAGCTGCCTCTCCGTCTGCCATCGGCCATCTCCATCCGAGAAAAGAAAGGATTAAACGAATCAGAGGAGTCGCCCCCCCCCCGCCGGAGGCGCCGGAAAGATGCGGCCTTTGTGGCGAAGCTCCGGGCACTGTGCGGCCCTCGGCTGCTTCCTCTTCTTCCTCCTCCTCCCGCTGCTGTCCCGCGGCGCGGACATGCCGGTGGGGTCGACCCTGTCGCCGGGCAACTCGGCGACGTGGACGTCGCCCAACAACACCTTCTCGCTCGGCTTCACGGCGTCCGCGTCCTCCCCGTCGCTCTTCGTCGCCGCGATCTCCTACGCCGGCGGCGTGCGCGTCTGGTCCGCGGGCGCCGGCGCCGCCGTTGACTCGGGGGCTCGCCCGCCTCTCGTCCAACGGCGACCTCCAGCTCGTCAACGGCTCCGGGGCCGTGCTCTGGTCGTCCAACACGGGGGGGCAGAACGTGTCCGCCGCGGCCGTCCAGGAGAGCGGCAACCTCGTGCTCAAGGACTCCCGCGGCGCCACGCTGTGGCAGTCGTTCGACCACCCCACGGACACGGTGGTGATGTCGCAGAACTTCACCTCCGGGATGAACCTCACCTCGGGCTCCTACGTCTTCTCCGTCGACAAGGGCACGGGCAACCTCACGCTCCGGTGGACCAGCGCCGCCACCACCGTCACCTACTTCAACAAGGGGTACAACACCTCCTTCACGGGGAACAGGACGCTGAGCTCGCCCACGCTCACGATGCAGACCAACGGCATCGTCTCCCTCACCGACGGCACCCTCACCTCCCCCGTCGTCGTCGCTTACAGCAGCAACTACGGCGAGAGCGGCGACATGATGCGGTTCGTGCGCCTCGACGAGGACGGCAACTTCCGCGCCTACAGCGCCGCCCGGGGCAGCAACGCCGCCACGGAGCAGTGGTCGGCGGTGGCGGACCAGTGCCAGGTGTTCGGCTACTGCGGCAACATGGGCGTGTGCAGCTACAACGGCACGGCGCCCGTGTGCGGGTGCCCGTCGCAGAACTTCCAGCTCACCGACCCTTCCAAGCCGCGCGGCGGGTGCACGCGCAAGGTCGACCTCAACAGCTGCCCCGGCAATTCCACCATGCTCCAGCTCGACAACACGCAGTTCCTCACCTACCCGCCGGAGATCACCACGGAGCAGTTCTTCGTCGGGATCACCGCTTGCCGCCTCAACTGCCTCTCGGGAAGCTCCTGCGTCGCGTCCACCGCGCTCTCCGACGGCTCGGGCCTCTGCTTCCTCAAGGTCTCCAACTTCGTGAGCGGCTACCAGTCGGCCGCGCTGCCCAGCACGTCCTTCGTCAAGGTCTGCTACCCGCCGCTGCCCAACCCGGTCCCGGGCAGCACCGCGGGCGGGAACTCGCGCGGCGGCCCCGGCGTCCGCGCCTGGGTCGTGGCGGTCGTGGTCCTGGGCGTGGTGTCCGGTCTGGTGCTCTGCGAGTCGGCGCTGTGGTGGTTCTTCTGCCGGCACAGCCCCAAGTACGGGCCGGCGTCGGCGCAGTACGCGCTGCTGGAGTACGCGTCGGGCGCGCCCGTGCAGTTCTCGTACCGCGAGCTGCAGCGGTCCACCAAGGGGTTCAAGGAGAAGCTGGGCGCGGGGGGGTTCGGCGCCGTGTACCGCGGCGTGCTGGCGAACCGGACGGTGGTGGCGGTGAAGCAGCTGGAGGGGATCGAGCAGGGGGAGAAGCAGTTCCGGATGGAGGTGGCCACCATCAGCAGCACGCACCACCTGAACCTGGTCCGCCTCATCGGCTTCTGCTCCGAGGGCCGGCACCGGCTGCTGGTGTACGAGTTCATGAAGAACGGCTCGCTGGACGCGTTCCTCTTCGGTGACGGGAAGATGCCGTGGCCGACGCGGTTCGCCGTGGCCGTGGGCACGGCGCGGGGCATCACGTACCTGCACGAGGAGTGCCGCGACTGCATCGTGCACTGCGACATCAAGCCCGAGAACATCCTCCTGGACGATCACTTCAACGCCAAGGTCTCCGACTTCGGGCTGGCCAAGCTGGTGAACCCCAAGGACCACCGCCACCGCACGCTCACCAGCGTGCGCGGCACCAGGGGCTACCTGGCGCCGGAGTGGCTGGCCAACCTGCCCATCACGGCCAAGTCCGACGTGTACAGCTACGGGATGGTGCTGCTGGAGACCGTCAGCGGCCGCCGCAACTTCGACGTGTCGGAGGAGACCGGGCGGAAGAAGTTCTCGGTGTGGGCGTACGAGGAGTACGAGAGGGGAAACCTCGCCGGCATCCTCGACAGGAGGCTCCCCGCGGAGGACCTCGACATGGCGCAGGTGGAACGCGCGCTGCAGGTGAGCTTCTGGTGCATCCAGGAGCAGCCGGCGCAGCGCCCGTCCATGGGGAAGGTGGTGCAGATGCTGGAAGGGGTCATGGAGCTGGAGAGGCCGCCGCCCCCGAAGTCGTCCGACAGTTTCCTGAGCACCACCACGGCCACCAGCGGCGTCAGCTCCAGCATGGTCTCGACGGTCGTCTCGTCGGGGCCCCCGGTCGCGCCCGCGCCATCGCCCAACCTGGAGCATGAGATGGCGCTGGGACGATCCGAGTCGGCCAGGAACCGTGAGCGGGTGTCGCGGCAGCTGCTGTCGCCGCAGCCGTACATGACGATGTAAGGCGCGTCTGCGTCATCCTCATCCATCCATGGCAGAGATCATCATCCCGCGAAATGGATAGCAAAGCAAAGTGAAGGCGCTGAGCTGAAACACGCAGGCAGGCAGAATGCCTGCTTCTGTCATCCAGTCCTAGGAAGAGGAAAGTGTACAGATTTGTAGAGCGATTAGGGAAATGATAATGATTTGCTGAATTTGCTCTAAGCTCTGGCCTCTGGCTGGGGAACCTTGGTGGAACAAACTGGTAGTGTGGCTTCCATATGACAATACTATTGTAATTGTAAGCATCAAATTCAGATCGAGCTTGATATTGAGCACTGCAATTTGTACAAAATAACCGGCATATTTTGTCTGTAATTAATTAGAATAATTCATAGCTGCAGCTTCTATGGTCCAATTGTGGTGAAATTTTTATGGTAGGTTAATTATTATATGCTTAAACTATAGTAAAAATTTCGTACTCATTGGACCATGTATAACTTAGTTATAGATAAATTCCAATTAATTACAGACAAAATTAGATTTTCTAATTAATATAAATCTACAGTAAAAGTTTTGTGCTAAAGTGTACCATATTATATGTTCACTGTGTAGATCTACTCATGTGGAGTCCAACAAAATTAGATTTTCCATTTTATGATTTTTCTGTGATTTACTGTGATTTTCAAAGATTCTGCGGAAATAAGGGGAAAAAGACAAAACCCTGCCACTGTAGCAAACCCGCCGTCACTGTAGCAAAACCCATGTTACTGTACCAAAACTGCCGTTGAAAAGCCGCATAGGGTAAAATAGACGGTTTTGAAAAGTTCAGGGGATAAATCAGACCATTTCATAATTAAGGGATAGTTTGAGGGGTGAAGTAGACTTTTTCCTTTATTTCAAAAACGGATGCAGTAGGGGTTTTTTTTTCGCTCGTTCGGAGCAGCTCACACAGGCAAATAGATTGCATCATAAATAAATTCATAATAATAATGCTGAGCTGCTAGAGAGTTAGACTGACTGTCAGTACTGAATACTGTTGCACTTCTCCTTTTTGGTTTTCTAGAGAAAAACTGTTGCAGGTCTCCTGTGTTTCTCGTCTCAACACTCACCTGTCAGCAGTGGCCACAGTGCCGGAATTCTATGTTCTAGAACATGAGCAGGATGTTTCAGCAAAACATCTCCGTCAGCTTCTGTGCGGTTCAATGCTAGGGACCCATGACCCCATCTCTGGATCAAGCTGCATTCATCAGATCCGTCGTGGAAGGGAAGGCAAAGCCGACATCCCTTCCCTGCAATCGCCAATCGCAGCCAGGCAACTGCAAGATGCAACGCATGGCGCATGTGATTCAGGCTCGTGCTGGGTCACGTTTAGCGTTCGGTACCGATGGATTTATGATGAGGGCAGGGGCAGAGCTGTTCTTGCACTAGGACTCGTGCTTTTCAGGTCGAACCCTAATTCAGGGCTACGATCTGATTGGAACGTACTGCAAACTGCAAAGCCATCGGCCAAAGACCCACAGAGTGACAGTCGTGTGTTTAATTCAGATTCAGATAGGGAAAGATTAGGTCCGGTGCTTTTGGTAATTTCATTTCAGAGTCCTTCCTCTGCGCACGTGCTCTTCTGCCTAATCCTCGTACGAATATTGACAGGAGCGTCAGTTCACCGCGACGTCCGCTAGGACGGAGGGGAGCGCCATGACCAGCAGACGATGTCTGCGCATGGCGCCAGTGACGGACAGGGCCACGACGTGAAGCTGTCCCTGTTGACGTCTACAGAGTCGGCGGGACCCGCATGGAGGAGGACTCAGCGACCCTAGAGGACTTCTTCTCCCCCTGATTCTCCTCTCTTCCTCCGCTATAACCCATGCTTTCTCCTTGGCCTATAAAAGAGAACGTAGGGCGTCCCATGAAAGACATCAGACTCGAACTGGATCGATTCATCCAACCAACGAACCCGTCGAACCCCGAACACGTAGCCGAGCAGCGACCGAGCTCTCGGCATTCATTCATTCTTTCCACCAGAGACTTGGGACCCGTCCCTCTCTCGACCATTTGTAACCCCTACTATAAATTTTCAGTGCTAGTAATACGAGCAACAGCGACGAACTGGACGTAGGGATGTTCTGCTCGAACCAGTATAAACCTCGTGTCCTCTAAGCACACCATCCGAGCCAGACGCGTAATATTAGAAATTTACTAGTTGGTGGCAACTCGAAACACCGACATATTCGGATTTTTTTAATACGAATACAAAACGGATGTCTCGGATTCGGATTTCTATTCGGATATTTATTCAAGTCAACTCAAAATGTATATCGTTAAATTTAACATACATGAATAAAATTTTACTACTAAGTACATCGTTAACCAAAGTGAACTAAATGAAAGTACACTTCTAATAATCTCTAACAGTGAAGTAAACTAAATTATAATGGATAATATTGAATAAAATAATAGATCAAGTGAAGAAATTCAAATAAAATGGTAAAAAACAAATAGCCATTTTACTTTATCATTAGTATTGGAATTATAAAATTATCACACAAATAGAGATAAAGCATTTGTGTATATAACATAGAAATGGATAGCACATAAAAATAATATAGTTATCAATAAATATTTAATAATTAAATATATCAATTAATTAATCAATATTATATTTATATAAATATTTATTATGAAATTATAAATTTATATAAAAATATATATATCAATAAATAAATAAACTAAAGTATTAAAATAATTTAAAAGAACAAATATATTAGGATTAAACTAAATTTGAAAAGTACTAAAATTAATTTAATCTTTATGTATCATTAATAATTTAAAATTAATACTAAAGTTATTTATAGATATACTATTAAATAGGTTCCATGCATTATTAGTAATAATAAAATTAAATAATTGTTTACTCGTTATGGAGAGAAAACTTTTAAGTAGGTTCATGATATCTTATTTTCTTTATGGATACGGATACTGTCGGATATTGTCGAATACGGATATGAAATCGGATAGAGAAAAACACCGAAAAACGAATTCGGATACATCCACTTTGGCTTACATTTTAAAATGGATACGAATACGGATATCCATATATACAATTCAAACGAATACGAATGCGGATAATTCGGATATCCATTTCCATATTTCCGTCCTTAGGGCAGGGCATGGTTCGTCTTTTCCTTCGCTGATCTGCTGCTAGTGCTAGCCTGGCAATCAAGATGCCATCATATCACATCCAGGTGATGCGAGATTACAACTGACACGAGGAGCAAAGATTTGTGTTGGCCGAGCATTGTCGTGCTACTCCATAGCCCACACTAAACCCACTCAGCCAGCTCATCTCGGCTTGATACTCGGTATGGCTTGTTTAGTTGGTTCATTTTATCCTCACGAGCATTTGAATCGGGTGGTTTCCTTTGAGGAATGCTAAACAACACTCGGTTGTTTTTACGTTCCTCAACACCTGATTTTTTTTCTGGCTAGCGTGCGCCCGTGCCCGACGCCTCTCGCGCGCCTGACTCCTTCTTCCCCAGCTCCGGCGATCGACGCTGGCGCCCGCGACGAGGTTGGCGGCCTCCTCCTCCTCCTTCTGGATCTGCCAGTTAGGGTTCTAGCGAGCTCTTCTCCCCCTTTCTTCTCCAACTCCGGCGGTTATAGAAGGGGTCGGCTTGGGGAGGTAGGAAGGCCAGGCGGTAGGGATGGTGGGCGGGGCGGTTTAGGGGAGCTGGTGGTGGTAACGGCGGCCAGGCAGGTCGTGGCGGGGGAGGCTCGCAGGAGCTGGAAAAGATGGCGGCGGTGAGGGGAGGGGAAGCAGGGCGACGGCCGCTAGGGTTCACCGGAGCTCTCGTGAACCCTAGCGTCAGCGGCGGGGCAGTGGTCGGCGGCGGGGGCAACGGGCGGCTGGAGGAGGAAGATGAACAGTATAGAAAAATCGGGTGTGGGGTGAGGGGAAACACTCGGTTCTTAGGTAGACAGACTCTTTCCTTTTGGTATTTAGATGTTGTTTGATTTGGCTCTTTTTTTATGTCGATCTCTGTTTCACGGCGAGAATCAAGACGTTGCCTTATGTTGGGTTTGGCTCGAGGGAACCAACCAATGCGCCCGCTTGCAAGTCATTCATTCCACCCACGCCCCGACGCTAACACCTACCCCAGCCATGTTCATCAACAACCAAACAAGTAGCGCTTTCCGTTAAGTCATAAGACATGGGCACATGGGCGAGAAATGATCACATTACCGTTACCATGCTTTTGACTGAACCAAATAACATCCCAGTTGGGTGGTGGCGTCGTAACAACATTTTCCCTCTATTTTTATGTTTTATTTAGATATATTCTTTTGCCAAAAAAACGAAAGTGAAACTTTTGCGTAAATATACCTATATCGCCAATTGAAGGGGTGATATTTAAATTTCACCAAATCAATTGGTTGGATTTTCCTTATGCCTACTCTTGACTTAGCGGAAACTATCTTGCCTGTGCAGTATTTCTTAAAAAACAACTTTTTTTATGTCAGATGGACATAATTTTAATAAGAAAATTATAGAGCTCGACCATATGTACACCTTTATAGGTCATAACCTTTACACTTGAAGTCATCTTAGTGTCAAAATAATCAATACAATGTATAGATATGAAGTTGTATCGATTATGATTTATTTACGCAACAATATGGTTTCACATGAAAATTTTGTGAACTACAAAGTCATGCACCCTGTCGAGCTCTACAACTTTCATATGGATCCACCTTAATTCGAGCTAATATGATTTGTTTAGATATACCATGCTAGTGAATGGATAAAATCAAGAGCAATTTGTTTACCCCCAACGTAATATCGAAAAACACAACTTTTACACATGATCTAATACGAAAATAAATTTATATGAAAATTGTAGCGCTTGATGAAATCTACATCTTTGTATCTCACAAAGTTTTTATTTGAAGCCAATCTTTGTTCCAAAATTATCGATGCAATGTTCAAATTTCCATTCGAGCTCATTTTAAAAACTTTTGACATT